CAACCTGAGGGTAAAGCCTGTGCCCTTTTCTCTTTGCCACTCTGAAAGATGAAGGGCTGTGCAGGCGGATGAGATGGGGAAGAGCATTGGGCAGAGCAGTCAGATCAGGGTGTCTTTGGGACAGGGCAGGACATTGGTTGTGATGGGTAGATGCAGAGAGGGGCAGAAGCAAAAGGGCCCAGGGGGACCACACACAAGGTGTTTAGACCATCGGCTAGGGACAACAAGAAGCCAAGGAGTGACACAGCATGCAGTCTGGATTTGAGAAGGCTCATTTTGGAGCAGTGTGGTGGCTGGGCTCTTGGAAAGGGATGGAGGTTGGGGAGGAAACCCCTCAGGAGACTGGGCTAGAGAAGGAACCTTGGAAATATAACACCTTGTGCTTTAAATGCGTAAAGGTCCCCATGGTCCCTGGGCTAGAGTAGAGGCTCCTTGGCAAACCACACGTCTTTCCTGACCAGCCTTGGTTGCCTGTTCTAGTCATCAGGACTTTAGCTGACCCTGCCACCCATGATACAAGGAATGCCTGCTGCTTTCCTTGCCTATAGTGGCTTGCTTAACCTTCGAATCTCCAGTCATATTGTCCTGTTTCAAGAGGCTTCCTGCATTGCCACTTACCATGCATGTGATAACTCCCCACACAAGAGGGACTTTATGAATTATGAATTGGACTCCATCTTTCTCTATGAAGACTCCTCTTCCCAAATTTCCGAGCTCTTGAGGGACTGTGTCCAGACATCTTGGGATTCCCACCACTTAGCTCCATACTTGGCATGCAAATAAAATGGTCCTTAGTTAATCAGAACTCTCTTCCCCAACAGCTGTGGTACTTGGGGAAAGCATAAAAGTCCCAGTCCACTCCTGTTGGCCCCTAGCCTGACACCTCAGCTCATTCTCCAACACAAGGGAGTCTGCAAAAAGGTCTCTACAGACAATCCAGCACTTGTGTCCCCTCCCACGGAAAACAGCCACCTAGTGGCCACTGTCAAGCCCACATGGGTTCCGTCCATGGATGCAGACAACATTTGGGACGATGGCTGTGGGAGACTTAGGGACAGGGAATCCATAACTCTGGGCTTGGACTCAGGCCAGAAGCAGGAGGGGATGTGGGTCCACAGTGGAAATGCCCTTTGGTCATGTGGTTGGAAGTGTGTCCAGAGAAAGGACAGAGCAAAGCTGTCCTTGAAGGACAGAACACTCTTCTCAATCCCTCAAATACACGAGAGAGGGAAACTTGTGAGACAAAATGTGGTGGGAGCGGTCAGGCTGCTGCTGCTGGCAGAAGCATGAGCATTTGGAGAAGGAACTCCGCTAAAGGTGTTTTGCACGTGAGGCAGCAGTTCGCCAAAAGCCAAAGGGAGAGGCTCTGATAAGCTAAACCTGGGGGGTCTCTGGAAAACAGTGGCTGGAGGGGTCCATGGAAATCCATTCAGAGAGTGAGAGAGCCTATGGGAACAGCACAACCGTCTCCAAAGCAGGGAGCAAACCACAGCACCCATTGCCAAGGCAGCAGCAGTGTGTTCATAGGTGCTTGCGGGTTATCTTCCTAAGAGCGGCAGGGCGAGGGGTGCTGGTACCTGGGGGTGGATTGTTCTTAAGGGTGGAAAGTGAAACTGAGAAAATGTCAAATCAGTTTTTAAAGAAATATAGTTGTGGCAAGAAAAAAACAAACTAACTTGGGGCTGTACAGGGTTCAGAAATGTTTCCTATGCTTTCTGACCACATTTAACTGAAGTTCGGAGAAGCCAAAGAATTTATGCTGGAGGGATAAAGGTGATGGAAGAGGGGTGAAGGTACAAGGAATAGATGGAAACTCAGTGGAGCAATGTTCCTGGTGCAGATGGGGCCCCCTCGGAAAGAAGCAAAGGTTCATGGGAGCTTTGTCAGGTGGTTCGCTTGGCAAAAACATGTCTAAGATGGCAGGGGAGGAAGGGGGAGGAGGTGGAGGGGCAATGTAGGGTTACAATACAGCCACAATGAAGGCCACAGCCAAGTTCTTGGAAGGCTAAAGCTGGGGCAGCATTCCAGGAATATCTAGAAGCAGGAGCCAGGCCTTTACACCCCCCATGCCAACCAACCACGGGCTCTGCTCTGTTGAAGCCCTCCATGAAGAAGGCTGGCAGCAAAAGGCTTTTGCCACACTGCCACTTCCGGGAACCAAAGCCACAAAGGCCTTTCAGCTGGAATGGGGAGCCGGGGCCACGTCTCTGTCAGTCAAGTTTCAACCAGTGAAGTACAAGGCACTTGATGTCTAAGAGATTTATGGCATGGAATTGGCTCACATGATTCTGGGAGCTGGCTGAGCAAGTTGAAAATCCACAGGGCAGGCTAGACCTCCTGGGCCTGGGGCCAGAGCTGCTGTCCACACTCAGAATTCCTTATTGGTCAGGAAAGCCTCAGACTCGTAGGACGTTTCAGCTGATGAGCTCAGGCCCAGCGGGTTGTCTGGAACGAGCTCCCTAACTCCAGGTCCATGCAAGCACCTGTAACTTGGTCTGAGCGGCTGTTTTGGTGTGTTCCCTTCACAGGAAGCAGGGAGCTGCCCTCTCCCCAGCCAGTGCGGCCTCCCTGTGCCTCTGTCCCCTCTCCCAACTCCTCTGCCTCCCCTACGCATCAGCCACCACAACTACCCAGAAGGACCTAGGGAGCTCTGTCCCCACCACCAGAATTGTTTACCCTACAGCACCAGGTCTTTGCTATCTGACCACCCCCAGAGCTGACTGGAGGCAAGGCCATGCTGACCTATAGGTTGGCTTCTACTGAAAGCCCAACTGGCCACTGTGGTGAGATCCCACCCTTACTTAACTGGCACAGAGCGATTGTCCTTATTGCCTCTGTGGCCCATGGAATCAGCTGCTATTGAGTTTAAGATGTGTCACGCGTGATGTGCTGCGGACTAAGACTTGGAGTATAAACAAGGTTGCACTCTCAGAGTTTGAGTGGTCACTAGATGTCAGGGGATCATGTTCTTCTACCTTGCTCTTTGCTCTCAGAAACTTATGCTTTTTGTTATGACATCTTGAAAGGAAAGTGTCCATCACCATCCCCACATCTCAAACAACTAAAGTGGCAAGCCAGAGTGAGAAAAATCTGTGTCCACAGGACAGTTTGCTAAGCTCCAAAGCAACTTCTCATAGTGATGACTGTGCTGCATGTAGGAGCATGTTGATAACATACGTGCCATCAGCAGCATGCACTGAAGTGAAACCCCTTCTCCCCACCTGTAACCCATCTCTTGACTCTTCCCGCTGGCCCGGAGAAACCCGCCCTAAGCCTCAAAGTATACAGAAAAAGGGATCATGCAAAATGAGCTCTTAGGGCTTAGGGATCAGGATTTGGGAAGCAAAGAAGGAAACCTAATCTGGGTAATCTCTGGCTTGTTCTTGGTTGTAAGACAATGTTTCCTTAGAGTGCCAAGTTCTCAGATCGGTGGTGGACTCTTGTTTCCTTCCTTCCTTGCATTTTCGAGGAGTCACAAACTAACAGACTTTCAAAGCTCCCCTCTTGGCAGCTTTCATCCTATACAGACAGAAGGTGAAGAGACCCCCTAAATTGGGACAAGCCCACAGTCCAGGGTAGGTGAGTGTGCACACCTGTCTAACATGGCTTTGTTCACTTCACCTTTGAACATCTGCTCTTGTCTGCAAAACTTTTTTTTCTTTGTAGCAATTTTGTTTTTGCACTCAAAGTAGAAGGTCAGCTAATCTCTGTTTCTATTGATCTTTTCTCCTATGCCCCTCTTCCCTGTCTCTCTGCAGATGAGTTGATGGTAGATAAGATAAAAGATTGACTTTGACCTTGAAAGTGAATGTTCCCAGCTTGATCTGTCAGTTTGGCTGTGCTCATAGCTAATGTACAGACCTATACAAAGGGCATGATCCTAATCAACTCCAAGGCATCTGCTTCTGGAGGAATGACGTGTGGGAACAGGACATCTAAAATAGAAGCCTTAGAGGCTGGATGAGTTGGCCAATGGATTTACATAACTGGGAGTGCATACTACAAAGGACAGTGACCTGCTTGTGCCTGGTTCCTTGGCTGTTGCTGCAGCCAGGAACAACTAGGTTAGACAGTCTGGCTATGCCCTTGCCAGCTTCAAGGATGTCTTCCTTGCACCCCTGCCTACTCTGCTTTTACTTGGAATCTGAGCTGCCTTCAAGAGCTCAGTAGGGGAGAACTTCCCCAGGGGTAGTTGGGACATGGCTGGGACCCCAGACTTGTCAATGCTCTGTCCACATGTGCCCCTGGAGAAGGCATGGACTCACTCTCGATGGGCCTCAGTTTCCTCCAGGGTAACCACACATGGACAGCAGCACCCATCTTCCCCTGTCATACTGACTTCCAAAACTGGCCAGGCTTTGTAAAGACTGCAGAAAGATGAATATGCCAAGGCCAGTGGAAGGAAGGACATTGCTGTGGAAACACAAACAGCTTGGGGCACCCACCTTGGGATCCTACCAGAGGCTTTAGTCTGAGCCCATGTTCTTCCAGGTTCAGGGCTAGCAGCCATGTTGAGCAAGTGCAAAAGCCTCTTGCAGGAGCATAGCTGGGCCAACATGGTGCAATGATGGGAAACTGAGTCTGCCTAGCATCCTGAATTTCTCACTAACATTTGAGTTTTTCCTCTTGATGATCTCCAGCCACCTCAGGACATTAATCACACCTTATTATTAGCCTCAAACAGTGCTACTTAGTTGGATTACTCACCTTGACAACAAATGACTTTGGAAAACTTTGGATAACCTATTTTTATTTACCTTTTCTTAAAAATAAAGATCTGCCAGTGCTGAGGAAATGCTGGGCAAACTCAGTGAGCTCTGAAAGAAATTCCCAAGGAATTTTGAACAATCGTGACCACTTCCCAGAGGAGGAGGAAAGCTATGGCCTTGAGGTGCCAGAAGGCATTTCAGCTCCCTATTCCCTAGATTTTACATGTGTTAATGAGTGTGAATGTCGTTTTCCGAAGTATAGTTGCTGAATCGAGGTCGAGAAAATGGACAGTAGTGCATCTGACCACAGCCCTGGCCAGGTGCTTTTCCCATCTGCTAAAAAGCCTTCCACGTGCTGTGGCCACCTCGACCCAACCTGTTGGGTGATACAGCTGCCCCCAGGGACACAGGGTAAAAGACAAGGCGGGGAGAGGCGGGGCGCACACACATGTATACAGACCATTTCCTTCTCACTGGTGCTTGGAATACAACAGCCCTCATTCACATGTGTATGAATATAGTATCAATGATGGTATTAGCTAACTTTGTAGAGTACTGATTTTGTGCTGGGTCCTCTAAATGTTTTATGTGTATTGATTTCCCATTCCTCATAACAACCCTTTCTGACTGCTACTATGGTTATGCTATTTTTGACATGTGGAACATGGGGCACTGAGAGGGGTCATCCAGCAGGCAAACTGCAGGGTTGGGATTTCCAGACCTGAAAATCCAGGTCCTGCATCTCAGCTCTTCCCACCACATGTTATTGCAGTTGGTGGAGCATCGGGCATGGCTTTATGATCACACTGTCAAGGATTTCTCAGGGATGTGTATCTGTTTCTGTGTTATGGAAAACTAAAGAATCCCAGTTGCTCAGGCTGGATGAGAGAGCCTCTTCCGCCCAGTGCTGGCTGCACTTTCCATGTTAGATGCAGAGGCACTATTCCCTGAGATGCTGTGTGAGTGCAAATGAAGCAAAGAGCCAGAGCAGAAGGCTGTCCACTGCCCATCACAGGCAGCTCGGAGCTACGATTGCTCTTAATTGTACCCAGGGAACAAAGGATAGAAACAGTTTTTGAACTAGCATAGTTGGTGGGTAGGTAGCTGTCATTTCATAATTGTCTCACATAATCCCATTTTACTGATGAACAAAGGAAGACTGGTTTGCCATGGCTTACCAGGATAATAACTGGGGAAAGACACGTGTCAGTTTCCTTTCTGCCACGTTGCATGATGAAGTCCCTTCTCAAGGAGTGAAGCTGTTGTCTCATTCCATCTCTATTTTTATTTTCACTTTCATCTTAAAGCCAGATGGAGCCCACGAAGGTGGACAGTGTGCAATCAAGAGCCGCCGCAGGCATCAAAGAGCAGGGTGGTGGAGGAGCAGGGCCTTGGGGCAGAGTGGCTGGGTGGAGGTCCTGGCTGCTGGCCTTGGATATCCCAGAAGCAGCCAAGTGACCCAATTTTTCCCCCAGCCCTGCCCACACAGCTTGCATTGTTAGTCCCCAGGGCCCATTGGCTGCCTGCAGGAACACAGCTCCAAGTGACCTGGCAGCAATGACCTTGACACAGCACAGGAAAAGCTCTGCAGAGGGCTTTACCCTGGTGCAGCCCAGCACTTTGCCCTTTCCCAGGGAAGTTGGTCATCACAAAATGCAGAGGAGTGCTCGTGGGGTTCCCAGGAGTGTGCGTAGAGGCGTTCTGACTCCAAGTCCAGTACTTTTCCCCATTCGAAAGCTTGTGCTATTTTTCTTATTCTTCAGCTTCTACATCTGTCTCCCTAATGCAGGGTAAGATCTGGTATTTCTGCTTAGCTATTATATACACACACACACACATATGTATATGTGTGTATATTTGACAGATGCTCCATCCTGAGCATCATGCTAGGCACATGTGTTTATGCAAACATTGAGAAACTGGAGCTGGAAGGATATGTGGAAATACTTCAGGTGGAAACAGGGCTGGCTTGCACACATTTTACTCAGAGGGGGAAAATATGTTGGGAAAAGCAGTGGCTCAGAGATATAAGAATAAATACACTTTCCACAAATGACCAGAACTCAGCATTTTAGTACCTCTTCACTAAGCATTTTATAGTATCCAAACTTAATATGTATTTCTATGAAAGAGATCCTAGATGTTGAATATTCCCTTTCTGCTCACAATGCAGGAGCCAGGATCTCCCACATGAGTTGCCAGGGGTCCAGCTACTCAAGTTTCACCACTGCCTTCTGCATTAGCAGGAGGCTAGAATTGGGAGCTAGCAGAGTGTCACAGCCAGGCACTTTGGTATGGGGTGTAGGCATCATAATTGGTATCTTAACCCCTAGGCCAAATGCTCACCCCTCCATTTTATTGTTCCAGACTTTCTAAAAGACTTAAAGGCCACAGTGGCCCAAGGAAGAGACAGAGAACCCCTATCTTATTTTTAAATCCTCAGCTACTCTTGCTTACTTAAGTAGACCATACACATGTTTGGGAAGATGTAAAAGTGTCTTGCCCCCTCGTGTTACCCAGTGACTCTTCCCGACCTTCTAATCTGAATTCCTTCCTTTCTTGTGAAGTGCTGTATCTTTGGAGATAGGCTTGCTTCTCCCCTACAGAAGCTGAGAATCTTAAAACCTTGGATTACTCAGTCTTCATCAAAGTTAAATAGGAATTTACAACCAAGATCCCAGTCATGAGACTGTCTTTTATTTCAGTATTTTTTAGAGAGGTGATGCAGAGAGATGCCCATGGTGATTGGAGCTAGAGTTAGGAATGTAGTACATGGGGAGTTGGAGTCTGGTGCCAGAGCCAAGAATCCAGTATTCTGATGGTGGAAATGGATGTCTAAACACTGGGTTAAACACTCATTCCCTGGCATGCCCATAATATGAAGAAGGAAACCTCCAGGGTTCGTTCTGGTCAGAAGTGTTAGATGTATTTGAAGTCTAGATCCAGTTCCCCAAGGCAGCCAGGTAGTGGTTGGACCACCAGCATCCCAGGACCATCATGCTGATGATGGACAAGTGTGGGGTGTACACACTGTGTCTTCATTCAGTGAAGCCTGCTGTGGAATTTACAGCATCATCTCCCAGCTGCATGGTCTTCAACCTTCATCTCTAGATGCCCTAAAAATTCTTCGGGTTACCCAATGTGCTTTCAATAAATTCCTCTTCCTAAATTAGCTAGAGTCTATTTCTGATGCTGGCACCAAAGCATCCTAAGACAGACACGAGGTTAAAGCTAAAGCAAACATGTAATATTTGTTAAGTGACTTAAGAACTCCCAACATTGCCCCTAAGCCTCATGAAACTCAAGACTCCTCCCCATAAAAAAAATGTACACAATTAGGGAGGCAAAAATGCATGTAGACTGTTTGGGGGCACAAAGGATAGGAGAGTTTTGTTTGAGCAGAAAACTCATGTAGAAGAGTGGGAAAGCAGGCTATCAAATGTGAATGGGGAAAGGCAATATGGAGGACTTTCCTCCACCAGACTGGGCTGGGTGTCTGGCCCAGTGGTTCAGGCGCCTGCATCCTACAGTAGGGCTCTTTCAGCACCCAGGTTGGCTCCTTCCCACTAATGCAAGACCCTAAGTGGAAGTGGTAATGGCTTTGAATAATGGGCTGCCTGCTACCCTCGTGGGACCCGTGCATTGAGTTCTTCACTCCAGGTTGTCCCGTCCCAATCCAACCTCAGCATTGCAGGCATTTGAAGAGCAAACCAGTGAACGAGACCTCTCTCCTTGTATCTCTCTGAAGATTTCTTTGGGAAATGCTTTTACCAGCTGAGGGTCATGGGCTCTAGGCCTACATGAGAGGTTAAAGTGAAGTTAGGAAGGCATTTTTTTGCCTGTAAGAAACAGAATCCTAACTTGTCTCTTATAATATAAGCTTGGCAACCAGGAAGTCAGAGGTGTACGAGGTCTCCAGGTTGAATTAGACCCCCTCCTAACATTGGCCTCACAGTATTATGTTGACATTGAGCTGCTGCCTGCTGATCTCCTCATGGCTACAACATGGCTGCTGCGATGCCAGGCACTGTACATTATATCTAGTAAAAGAAAATCTTTACTAAGGTTTTCTTTTTCTTTAGGCTTCATCAACTTTCTTGCTCCCTCTGAGCTCTGGGATATTTTGTTTGTTCAGTGCGCATGGTTTAAATCTACAGACCTCTATGCCTCAAAGGCAAGAAAAGGAGCAGAGGGGTAGAAATGACTGTGAGTTGGACCAATAACACCACTCACCACCAAGTCTGATAATCCACTAGGGGAAAGAAATTAAGATTTAAATGTTATGTAAATAAAACATTATATATGCAATACATATTATATACACATATTATACATGATTTAAACATTTTTAGAACCAAGCAACATAACAGATGAACAAGAGAAAAAGATGAGATGAAAATCACTCTGCATTAAAGTTTATCCAGCTATAAAATTTGATGGTAAAGAGATCCCACTTAGGAATATTAATCCCAGCTTCCATCATCCAATCCCATTGCTTATTTGTAGAAAGTTGTAGCAACTCTGTCCAAATGAAGAATAGTTGAACTTGAATGAACAGAACCCTAAAAGCAGATCTTCACTGCCTCTTGTAGCCACTTCCTGGCCTCCTGCTAAGTCCCTCTTCTGGCTTTTATGTAACTGTTCCCATGCACTGTGACCTCAAGGTGAACACTGGGTCACAGCCACGGTCCCAGGGGTATGTCGTGACCAGCCTCCATAAAGGAAGGAGTCTGGCGAGGCTTGGAGCATCATCTTTTACTGGACTAATAGTTCCAACACTTGGGAACACAGAGATTGAATCTGAGAATTGAAGTGCCATGCTTTGTCCAGTGTGCTAGTTACGGAGAGGAAGGGAAGGAGGGAGGGAGCAGAAGGCATATATTCATTGTGGTCACTTGTCCATATGTCTTATCTGGCCACTTTTTGGGACTTTATTTGGGGTCACTAAAGTAATCCCAAGGAGGTGCCTGAATATTTGAAAGGGAAAGCATGACAGATTCTTGAAGGGGAAATGACCTTGGGCCCAGTGCCATACCTTTGGCCAAAAGTTATGCTTGGAGAGGGACCCAGGACTCACTTCTAGAAGAGGTTGACCCGTGCAGCTGAAGGCAAGGCCAATGCACACTTGGTGATGCATTGTGGGGGCGTTGGATTCCTGTGAGGATTTCTGGCAAGTCATTGGAGCTTTATGACTGGTGCCATGGAGTGCAAGAGAGGAGGTGTTTTCAAGTTATGAGAGTCCCGTCTCTGTTTCCTTAACCATCTACATATGGGATGTGTTGTACACAGCTCTGATGCTTTGATCTTGGACAAGGAAGAGAACATGACTAATCACCCAAAGGCCTCAATATACTTATCTGGAAAATGGGGACCAACAAGGTTACCAACCTTAGTGAGCCGCTTTAAAGAATA